GTATTAGTATTGTTTATTTGATAAATATATTTTTTATTTGAGATTATTTCGTGATATTGCATTTTATCAGTTTATCTTCGTGTTTAGCATTTTCTTTTTCTTTATTATCTCATGAGTTTATTTATTGGATGAATTTCCTCTCTACCTCCTAAAGACATGCATCGAATCTTGCCTTTTTGTATCATAGATTGCAAAGGATGAAATATTTTCCGCTGACCTTCCGCCTCATTTTTACTGTTATCTGCCTTCAATCGTGTGTGAACTTGTCAGGTATGTTGAAGTTAGAAACAAAAGTAATTCATCTTTAAATTAGCTCCCGATAGTTCTCATTGGGTTCTGAATTGCCTAATAGACCGCACTTTGTTAGAAAATTGGGAACCATATGGCATCTGATTTTATTATCACTTATCACTTCACTTATGAAGCACTCCAAACAGTTGCTTTATTCTTTTTAACAGGCTTCCCCTGACATAATACAGTCGATGTAATTTGAGATTCTATTGAAGGYAATATTTCGCATAGAGCAAATGTCTTYATGTAAAGATGCCAGCATCTTTGCAGGACATTACTTGATGTTCTCAGCCCAAAACACTGAGATTTTTCTGCATGGCTGCTCTTCTCCAATGGTCATGTTCCTTTAACTAATATAGCTGGGATGCAAGAAAAAGATGATCCAGTTTTATGTAGAAACGACATTTAAACAAGTATTTTAGTCGTTTAAGAGTGTTAAATCAATTACTGATACTTACGAACACAGAAAATTAAAGAAAAATTATTATGTCTAAAGAGCTTTTGTAACAACATAGTCAGCTCATCGAGACCTAGGCAAGTGATTATTTGAAGTTTTTTTTTTTGAGTAGGCAATAACCCAATTGTCACCAGCTTATGCAACATTTGTATCTGATCTGACACATCGCAAAATATACATGCAATTAAAATGGTTCTAAATTATTGTTATTTATCTTTGAATATAAATATTGTTTCCAACAGATAGGTCCAAGTTAACGTTTTCTGATATAATATTCAGTCATCTAGAACGTACTTCATATTGATGTTTTTAACTGTTTTATAAACGAAACAAATAATGACTAATTATTAAACATTATGCGCATTAGCAATTAATTCATATATATTATCTTAATACCAATAAGACATGTCACACAAACTTAATTCCATTATTCAATGTTTAAACGTTGTGTCCAACAGATGGGTTCAAGTGGATTTCACTACCTTCGCAAAGGACGAAAGGACATGTTGGTTCTACTGTTCACATCAAGTGGTATTACGAATGTAATGAATATGGTGTTACTAAAATTCTTTACAACAACACAGAGATGTTCTATCGATACGGAACAAAACAAAATTATTCTACAATAAGAAACGTAGTTCCTCATTTCTCTGTTATTGGTGGATCAAATGTGACAATTATCATCCCTGATGTTGATAAAAGTAAAAGTGGATCATATTGCTGTAGTATTGATTGTGATGGTGATAAAGATGAGGCATGCACGTTTCTCATCACATATGGTGTGAAATTGATGATAAATGTAAAACGAAACTGCGATGTCTACCAGTAGTGTAAACAACTTCACTTTGGGATTTCGCGCCTTCAAAGTCTGTTTTCCCTGTGGATGAGTTGACTTTACTGACAATGTTTTGAATAAAATCTCCAATGAACGGAAACCCAAAAAGAAATTATTTACACTTCCGGTTGACGTCGCCGTCGTAGAATTTGCAAATCTTAAAGTCCCTAGTGGCATTGAACGGAGTGGGGAGTGCAATTTTGTCTGAAATCCAAATATTGGTTTAAAAAAATTGCAAGACCGCGTAGCTTGAGTGCAATTTCAGTGTTTATTACATCCATTTTGAAATCACTACCAAATCCTGCAATCTGATTGGTTCCCTGCAGCAGTGATTTCAGCCTAAATCGCACGATTTTGAGCTCTAAATTGCACGATTTTGCACATCATCTGATATGAACCAATCACAAGAGAGACATGTCATTTTCTAGCCAATTATATTAAGGAATCCATTTGAGTGTTGAGCTCGCCGCTTCTTGCGGAAAAAAAAAAAAAACAGCCACGGCTCAAAACAATTTTTCGAAGAACGATTTTACCGTAAAAAGTCGTTAAAAAAACTTAAGAAGCCGTAAAAAGAATTAAAAAGACCAACTGAGCACTTAAAATTGTCAAAAGCATCTTTGTAAAGTAACTGCTTAAGTAAGGTGAAGATATTACAGCGAAAAGCAGTGGGAAAAATACAATCAGCATCTTTTTAATGTGATTCTTGGCGATTGATCGTGGAAAGTGGTTTCCTTTTCAATCTTTAAAGCATAAAACACATCGAAAATACAGTCATTAAAAGAAATATTTCTTAAGAAGAAGAATTTTGCCGAGCTACGTGACTTCTTAAGGACAACCGAAGGACTAAACAACCTTTGATGTTTGTTGTTTTCTCGGCACAAGTGTGATCATAACATGTTGAACAGAAATCTTAATAAAATACAAGCAGTGAGCTTTTGGACAGGATTGTCTTGCTATTTAATGTAAGTAAATGATTCTTAATACATGCATGTAATGCCTTTTGGTCCTACATAAATACATTTAAGTTTTCGATTGAAAGTGTTGGTTTTCAAAATGAGTATCGTTGCTCGTGTGCTCGATCAGTATGATAAACAAGTTCACTTGACAGCATGTTTGAATCGACTGCTTGTAGATTGTAAGTCATGTCGGTTTAACTAGAAAAAACGTCTTTTTCAAAAAGATTTCAAAATGGATATAATAAAGTGGCAATTGAACTTCGTGTCGTGCAATTTTGTTCTGGAATCAAACTTGCAATTACAAATCGCACTCCCGCTACGCGGTCGTGCGATTTTGTAATCGCGCGTTTGATTTCAGACCAAATTGCACTCCACTCAGTTCAATTACCATTATTAATCGGGCACAAGTTTGATTTCATAACAAAATTGCGCAATATAAAGTTCAATTGCCATTTTGTCATATCCAATTTGAAATCTCTTGCAGTGATACTAAATTTATAATTAAATTTGAAATCAACATTYAATTTTAAAAAAAACTGCATCTTATCTAGAAAAGGAATTTCTTCGGATGCTTTTCTTTTGCTTCTTTTTTTCTGTGATAAAAAATGCTTTGATTTCTGCAATTGTATTGGCTCTTCAAAACAGTGCGATTTTAAAATACTCGAAATGGTACAATCATGATTAAATCGCACTGCCAAGAGCGAGCCAATCACATTGCAGGAATCACCATTCATTTTCAACATGGATATAACTAATAGTCCAAACATATCACGCGATACCTAAAATTTTAAATCAGGTTATAAATTATTTTTATGCAAGGATAGCACCAAACTTGTAATTATTAACTCTTATTGCAATGACGTCCGCGTCTTAGCGATATTCAAAATGAGCGTGCATCAATGTGAGGCTATCTGGTCCAATTCGTTGTCAATTCCAATATAAACTGTGCACATCAACTCCAATATAAAGCTATTTGTTTTTTGTTGKTTTTTTTTCAACTGTATTTTGWCTGAGTACTGCCAGGGTACAGAACACTTCTTCATTAACCAACTTCGGTTGCAGTCCTGCACTCTGCCACTATAAATACTTCTGAGTTTGTAATAAGACAAGTGTGGACATATAAACCTTTAAGCCTTTGAACAAATAGAAACTATAGATATGTTGACTTGTTTAAAAAGTTTAAAAGCTAAAGGCTATATTTGGTCAGTACACTATCAATAACATAACCATTCGATTAACCTATCTCTTTCTATATATTTTCTGTTTGCTTGTAGCTTTACCTCSTATCAACTACCTGACCTCACACCTTTATGGCAAACAAGGAAATTCAATAACATTAAGATGTAATGCCTCTGGATATCCAGYACCCCGTGTTACATGGACACACAAGGATACAAACAGAACAATTGCTAATTCCAGTGTGACGTCATTCAACATCACTGGTAAAGMATCAGGAGGAAGCTATTGCTGTCACGTGTCAAACGGTTTTGGGGAGGAGACTAATTGTACGTCCCTTAAAGTAATAGGTATGTGTGGCTTAYATAGTAGGATACTAAAGATATATCACGATAAAGTTGGAGCACTTGTACAGCGGATGATTTCTTGGCATCGTCATTAACATTTTGAAGAAAGAAACAAAAATAGAACAAAAACAAATACTATTAACTCGTTTTTTTTTTTTACGTGTGGGATATTAATCTATAATATAATAACTATATATATAATATCGATAATATAATAACTATAACTATATATCTATGACCATAAATACTCGCGTCTCGGTAAATACCCCCGATATTCACTTCGCCTTCGGCGAATAATTGTTAAACATTACATAAACGAAAAAGAGAATGATTTTTTTAAAATCATAACATATCACTTCCTCTCTGAATTCTTTTAAACAATATTAGTGACCTTGATATATTGGTGATTCATGTTATAATACTAGTCATTATTTTTCGTCTTACAGAATATCAACCAATACATACAGTGCTGGCAACGAACAACACTTTTACAACAGCAAATAAGRCATTCAAAATATTCTGTAAAGCAGACGCATCTCCCCCAGCAAAATACTCCATCGAACAAGGGAWCAAAMAAATGGTCAACTCCACTGATGGTTATGTCACAATTACTACGCCAGAGAATGGATATCTTGCTTTCAGTTGTATTGCAAAGAACAAATATGGACAAGGAAAAACAGTGCATCTTAAAATACCAATATATCGTAAGTATTCCCTCCATTAATTTTTCCTTGCATTCGTCTTGCTACATTCGTTTCCTCCCTTATTTTTTCGTTTTTATTTTTTATTTTATTTCAAAATTGCTAATTTTTTATTTCTATAATTAATGTGGAAATTATTTTTAAAACGTTGTTGTTTTTAATATGCAAACTCTGACATTTAAAATCACATTAATTAGATTTAAATCTAAATAATATAATTATAAATATCAGAGTTTGAATATTTTACATCCAGTTCTAAATATTTTCTTGCCTTTTTCCAAAATATGCAATTATTTTGGGAATAAAATAAGTTATTATTTAACAAAGTAAATTAATAACCATAAAATTATGTCACGTGAATTATCGCGATTGAGGCTGTGTCATGTGCCGAATGCATGTGACAGGAAGGGATAAGGCCGCGACGTCTTAATAATYGATGCAACAATCAGGCGAACCCATGATCTAATAATTATTATTATATGTCTCTATTATTATATGATTTATTTTCATATTATTTGAGATAAAATTAGACTGTATTTAAAAGTTTATTCTTGGGTTACAACCACATAACTCAAAATTCTTTGAGATATAMATAACGACGAAACAGCCGCCATGTTGGTGGATCTAAGAAGAGAAGCTAATGAGGAATGCTTTGTAATCCGCGTCAACCAACATGGCGGCTATAACGTAACATACGGCTCAATAATTGATGTGATAAATGAATCATCTGCAGAAAAAGCACTCGATAATTCATTTATCGTGATCAAGTCACCTTCCAAGCTTTGGTTAGATGAGTGTTCTTAGGTAATCAGAGATAASGTTAGTAAAGWGTWCCACAAATTAAACCAAGAGATTAGTAAAYAGGTAGCCAGGAGAGTTAAATAGTACTGGTAACAAGTAGACTTATTGATACAAATGTTATCAAAGTTGCAATTCAGTGCTCCTTACTCAATGTATTAAAGCTTCCTGCGTGTACGTCGAGGACCACGAAGAGGACCACAATGAGAGCCACAATGAGAGACTGTGCGCTTTAAAATTAATCTTGTGTTTGAAATCACAAAGAACGGTTTGTGGCTATCTTGAATGATCAAATAACATTGTTGAAACAGGAAGCTCTCATCACCAAGGTGTATTTTTTTTCAGAGAGGTCCTGCGTCRTGCAAGTCAAACATTCGCCGCCAGGGCTCTCAGCATGATTCCYTCGTTCAGGCTGCAGCCTCCAAAAACTAACATTAGGGGGCGAAAGAATTTTTTAGTTATTAAAATGAAAAAAAAAACGAAGGTAAAAAARYTTGAGTAAGTATATATTTTAGGTCACCCATCCAGGTACTAACCCTCCTTAAACGGTCTTGACACAGTATATTCAATGCTCAAGTTTTTTCCACTGGGCCACGGATATTCCGAATTAGCACAACAATAGCCTTGAAAACAATGTACCAGATAGACTAGACTTTTCAACATCAATTCCTCAACCGTGCGTGGTAGAGATGCAAGGGATTAGCCGWTATGGTCTGGGGGCCGGCTGGTCTCTCCCCTGATGCTTCGGCTAGAACATTTTCTTGCGTAATTCGTACACCCAAGGGCAGAAGGATTTAATCGCCGTCAGGTCCGAAGTCCATACGCCGCCTCAGCTCTGCGGATGTCT